GAGGAGGAGGAGGAGGAGGAGGAGGAGGAGGAGGAGGAGGAGGAGGAGGAAGAGGGGGAGGAGGAGGAGGAGGAGGAGGACCACGACGACGACGCCATTCTGAAAGTGCAGGAGAAGGACGAGGACGAAGAGAAGGACAATGGGAAGGAAGAGGCCTCCCATGCAGAGGTCTCCAGAGATCTCCAGAGGCCCTGATGGGTGCAGGCCCACGAGGACTGCCAGATGCCGCTGACGCCTGGCAGAGACTGACGCGTAATTATGAGCCGGCCAAGAAGAAGTCGTCGTCGTCGTCATTCATCGTGCCCCAAGACCCGGCGCTGCGGAAAAATGCACCTCAAGAAAAATCACAGCCAGAGCCCTGGACCCCATCTTTCTGCTGCACTCTTCGAGCTGGATCGGCCTGTGACGGCCCAGGAGGGCCCCCGGGCCCTAACATCGGGCAACAGAGATCGCCTGCTCTGACAACCTTGCAGCGTCAGGATGTCGGGATCGTCGTCGAGCGCCGCAGGCCTTCTGGCGCGACAGGGGCGACGGCGACAGCGGAGCCCCGGCGCGCCGCGGCGGCGGGCAGCCGCCCGCGGGGCACACGCCCGGCGGGGCCGCGGGCCGCGCGCGGCAGCGCCCGCGCGGCTCGCAGCGGGCGGAGGCCGCCGGCGGGCCAGGCGGCGCCGCGACGGAGGCGGGCGGCGGGCAGGGCCGCGGCGCGCGCGCAGGCGGTGCAAGAGAGGGTGTCCTGTTGAGGTGGGGCTCGGGCGAGTTTCCCAGACCCCCCCCGTGGCGTCAGGAGGGTGCTGGGCAGTCTGCGGCCTCTGGGGGCCCTCCGCGGGCCCCGGCGACGCGGGAGGGGAAGGCGGTCCAGAGGAAGGGGTCCAGACCTCCGGGGGTACACATCATGAAACTTTTGTCGGGGATCTAGGAAGTTCATTCGCATGGCATTCCACCATCCCTCCCTCTCCGCCGCCTTTACAAAAAGAGATGGGCCGAGAAGGCCAGCAAGCGGGTTCCGACTTGCGTGAAGTCCAGGTTTCCTTTCGGGCTCGAGGTTTCCCTGAGATCCGGGCGTTGCAGCACAACGGGCGTTTGCGCCGGGGTTTGGGGCCCCGGGGCCCTCATATATCGATCCGTCTCGGGAAAAGTAGCAGAAACGTGGGATCTGGGGCACCGATCGAATTTCTTTTTCCGCGATGTTGCAATTTCGCGACGTTGGATCTGAGCGGTGGGTCTCGAGGCCCCCCGCGGCTCGAAACAGAAGGGGCCCTGAAGAGGGGGGCCCTGATCATGAGGAGAGGAAGTGGTCCCAGATGCCCTCGGGTCGTGGCAAGATATGGACGGGAAGTGTTGGGCCACTCCTGGGCCTCCGGGACTGCCAAGAGGCCTGATTTCTTGCGGCCCACGTTCCAAGAAAGGGCACGAAGTCGGAGTCGTGGGTTGGATCGGCCCCTCGCCCTGGGGGCCGACAGATCCCTCAGGGTTGGCATGCAATGGAGGTCTAGTTCAGGATATCGGCGCTGATATACCCGTGGTCGGAAACTGGCCTAATCCGGCACCCCCGACGTTATCATTTTTTCACGATGTGGACCCCCAGAGGTGTGGACCCTTTCCTTGGGACCAGTTTTCATCCCGCATCTTTTTTCGTACAGTCCCGGGGCTGCGCGAGGGCCCCCGGAGGCATTGGGGCCCCATCTCTGAGCCGCCCGGAGGCCTCCGTGATCCTCTTCCTTTCGCGGGAGGGGGAAGGGGGAGGGGAGGGGAGGGGAGGGGAGGGGAGGAGAGGAGAGGAGAGGAGAGGCTCCTCCCTCGTCCTCCTCATCGTCCTCCTCCTAGACCAGATCGCAACCAACTGAAGTTCGGTCTCATCATAAGACTTTGGCTGGAGGGTGGATCACCGGCCACAGAATCGAGATCCTCGCCCATTTACTGTGTCGATTTGGCTGCCCTAGCTGTCCCGACTCGTTTACCGCTCCTGCCCCCGCCTGCCCCATCTCATCGCGTTACCCCGTCTGCGTATTCCCACCGTTCCCCCGATTCGATGGCTTGGCCTGGGATCAGATGAGGAATGTCAAGACACCGACCTTACGGTGGCTCTTGCCCATGATTTAGTCAGTCTCCTGCCCATGCCGACCTTGCAGTATGTTGCAAAAACGTTGTGCTGAGCTAGCTGGAACTCCTCAGCAGCTCGGCAACTACGAGCAACACCTTTCCATACGCCATGCGGCTCCCGTTCGGCTCTAACCCACGGCTCGCCTCAGGGACGTGCGCTCGTCCTGCTGCTCCTCTCCTGGAGGATAGCGGCTCAAAGATGGAGCGGGAGGAGGAGGAGGAGGAGGAGGAGGAGGAGGAGGAGGCGGCGGAAGAGGAGGATACGGAGGCCAGGCCATGTTGACGCAAACTCGGGTCAAGCATAGTATGCGCACGGATCAGCGCCTGTGTGTGCAAAGCGTGCCACAAACAGTTCTCGACCAGGCTCCGTATCATCGCACACTGGTCGAACCCTCGTCGGACCGCTTGCTGGCTGTGGGAAGTCGCCAACACCCCACCCATGGATGCCGATAAGATAGCGCATTTAGACGCGGCCGACACACTCGCGTACAGAGCTGCGAGAAAGCATGGCCACACGCGACCGCTTACGGCGGGCCCTGTCAAACAGGCCCCGGGCGGCTTCTAATTTTTATCGTCTCGTCACATTTGCGCCCTCTGATGAGTTTGCGCCTGCAAAAGGAGGCGGAGGCGGAGGCGGAGGAGGAGGAGGAGGAGGAGGCAGAGGAGGGGGAGGGGTCTCCCTCGGGGCCCCCGCCCCTGCGGGCGGCGCCCGAGGAGGCGGCAGTGCCGCTCGGCCGCCGGACGTCGGGGCCCTCCAGCCGCGGCGCGCCGGCGCCGGCGCTGCGCCGGAAGGGCAGGCCGCGCAAGAACGGGGCGGTGTGCGCGTACTTCACCTGCAGGCGCCCAGAACTCGTAGGAGGATCGGAGGTTCCTAGACCTCCCACCCTGACGCGTCGATGAGCGCATGGGCCGTTGTCGGTCGGCGAGAGGGCGTCGCGGCCGTCATTTTTGTGGGTCCAGGTCCGTCGGTGTCGGTCCTAGGCCGTTTTCACTGAAGGTTTTTGTACTGAAGGGAGGCTTGTCCACCGCCGAGAGGAAGAGATACCGATGCTGCTGCTCGTCCTGGAAAGCCCTCGTCGCTACGGACGGATTCCTTCGAAATTCTGAACAGAGGGCACTCCCAGAGAGGTCCAGGGGTCTGGGGAGTAGCAGTACCCGTGCTTCCCAAAGATCTCCGACGATACGATTTTGTCAATCTGGGCGTTCTTCCTCGGCTTCGGTCCCTGTGAGGCGCCCAGACCCAGACCCCCTCGCGTCGTGAGAAAACGTAAGGAGTTTTTGTCCCAACCATCCTGTGGTGTTGGGTCTTCGATTTGAAGAGACAGCGCCCCGCGTCCTCTCAACTCCCGCTCTCCTCCCCATCCTCCCTCCTCCCTCCTCCCCCTCTTCGCCTCTGCACTCATCAGTATGCGTCTCCCCCACCCAGTACAGCGCTTCGTGGCCCCATAGGGAGCTCCACCGAAGGTTTTAGTGGCGGTGTTCGCATGCAGTTCCCCCATCCAGCATAGCGCTTCGTGGCCCCAGAGGGCGCTCCACCGAAGGTCCCAGTGGCTGCACTCGCAAGCGGCTCCCACACCCAGTACAACGTTTCGCGGCCTTATAGGGAGCTCCACCGAAGGCCCCAGTGGCAGTGCTCGCATACACTTTCCCGACCCAGTACAATGCGTCGTGGCCGCCATGGGGAGCTCCACCGAAGGCCCCAGTGGCGGTGTTCGCACGCGTTTCCCTCACCCAGTACAGCGCTTCGTGGCTCCAGAAGGAGCTCCACCGAAGGCCCCAGTGCTGGTGTTCGCGTGCGCTTCCCCCACCCAGCACAGCGCTTCGTGGCTCCATAGGGAGCTCCAACGGAGGCTCGAGTGGCGGTGGCTGCGCCCGAATGCGTCCACGCTCCAAGTCGGCACACCATGTACACGCTTCGTGGACCCATAAAGAGATCGACCGAAGGCGATACCCACAACGGCGATACTCACAACGGCGTATGGTTCGGCCTTTCGCCATAATACTTCTCTTGCAGTTTTCGGCTTCTGGGAGCCCCCACCAGGCCCCGGGACCGTCGAAGACGAGATGAAAAACGGGCTTCCAGAAAGGGGTCCACATCTCTGCGGATCAACGTCGCGAAAAAACATGACGTCGGGCGTCCAGAGATCTCCGACGATAACCCACAAATATGACGTGATGAATCCTGGCGTATTTCATCGGTCTCCCCTGACGGGGCGATATACTGGCTCCGCCCGGAGAAGGGGTACATTGCAAAAGCCATGCCATCAGATGTCCAGGCACGGGTGCTGGAACGGCGACGCGTGCCCCTTCTTGCATGGCTCCAGCCCGGCAACCTCGATGAGCCCCTCGGGCGGCAGGACGGGGCGCCCAGCCGGCAGCAGCGGCGGCCCCGCGGCCGCGAGGCGCCGCCGGTGGAGGAGTCCCGGCATGGGCAAGGCCAAGGACAGGCGGCGGCCAAGAGGGGGGTGATGACCCTAGGGGTCAGTGTGGCTACCATGGCCAGCGCCGTGAGATCTCCCCAGATGTCATGGTTTTTGTTAAACGAATTCCGATGCATCCCCTGTCCCCCCATGAGCCAGGCACGGGCCTCGGGCTATGATTTGCGAACCCGCCTTTCCCAGACCTCCGATGTTTCATTTGTTCAATACTGGGTCCCCAGAGCTCTGGTCCAATTCCCAGGGGCCGATCTCTCTTTGACGAGACCCAGGATCCGGCGAGAGCCCCGAGACGCCGAAAACGACGAGGCATTTCCGGTTGCAACGGCCCCGACAGGAGCAGGTGCTACGGGAGCTCCGGCGGCGCGGCGCCAGCAGCAGCAGCGGCGGCAGCAGCAGCCGCCGCGGCGGGCGCGGCCGGCGGCGGGAGGGCCCAGGCGCGCGCGGCTCGTCGAGGTCGCGGCACTCGGCCAGCGCCCGCGCCAGTGGGCGCAGCAGGAGCCGCGAGCGCAGCGGCCGTCGGCCCCGCGGCGCCGCGAGCGCCCCCAGGCGCCGGGGGAGCTCGGGCGCGGCGGCGTCCAGGGCGCCTGGCGAGGGGGCAGCAGCGAGGGAGCCCCAGGTGGGCAACAGCGCATCGAGCTGGGACGTTCGGCCAGCCATGGGGGAGGCGCGGCAGGAGCAGCTGCTCGCGTCGTCGCGCACGGGGTTCGTGAATCCCAAGAAGTCCCGCGAGGTCTACCTCGGGAACCTGGAGAGGACGATCACGGTGGAGAGGGTCCGCCGAGCTCTGCTCACGCTCTTCAGCGAGCTGCCGGCGTACGTGGCCACGTACCCCGACATCTCCAGCCCCCTAGTCCACATCACGCTGCACGTCGCTGGGATGGGCGCGTATGCCTTCGCGGAGTTCTTCGACAGCAGGTCCGGATCCATTTCGATCCGAACGGGCCGATTCGATATCGATCCTGGACTGCCCAGTCCGAATCGATTCCGACATTCCGGCGATGCGATGCGGCCCGATGCCAGCATGGCGTCGTGATGCATCTTGGCACAGCCGATCCGACTCGAGCTCGACTCCGTGTCGATGCAGCTCGACCCGTCGCACATTTCGATCCGATCCGATCCTGGCAGGCTGGCGAGCACCGCGATCCAGTTCAGCGGTCTCACGCTGCACGGCAAGGTGCTGAGCGTCAGGCGGCCCCAGGGCTACGTGGTCCCACCGCAGGGGGAGGCGGCACCGCTGGACGTGGGACCTCTGCGCGTGCGGGGCCTGCTGCCCGCAGCACCGTCCAACGCGGTCTCTGCGCGGCGCTCAGAGGGCTCTGTGTGCGTCGTCGACGTCGTCCCAGGGTCCCTCGTTCTCGCGCCCTTCCTCCGCGCTATCCTCCTCCGCCTCCTGCAGGACGGGGGGAAGGGAGGGGAGGGTGAGGGAGTAGAGGGAAGGGGAGAGAGACTTGAGCGTGGGAAGAAACGGAAGAGGGGGGAGGGGTTAGAAGAGAGGGGATTGTAGGAGGGAGAGGGGAGAAGCAGGGGCGGGGAGGGGGGAACTGGGAGTGGGTGGAGGAGAAGGGGGGGGGGAGACTGCATGGGGGAGAGGAGGAGGGTGAGAGGGGGGGGAGGTGTAGTGGGTTAGCTGATCCGTCGATCAAGTGACATCGGGGCGGTGTCTGTGGGGCCCACGTTCGGCGGAGTGCTCCGCCGTTATGGTGTGAGTCGGCCAGCCCCGTCGGGATCGGGATCGGGCTGTGGATCTGGCCAGGTCGTCCTTGCTATTACGTTGCACCGACGGTGATCGAAGTGATCGCCGCGTCTAGGTCGCCCTTGTCGACCCTCCTCCCCCTCCCTCCCTTTCCCTCGCTGCTCCTCTCCCCCCCGTTCTTCCCACCCCCCAGCTCCTGCTCATGGCCCCGCTCCTCGTGCTCCTGGCGCTCCTCCTCGGGGACCGATTCACAACCACCGCCCCCACGCGCGCACCCTGTGCCCGATCAGCTTTCGTGTGGGGGGTGGTGTACAAAAGTCGCGCCCTCAGGGGATGCCATTTTTGTGCATAGTGTCCGCCCCACGGTCTTGTACCGGACCGTGTTGTTTCTGGGGGTGGTGCACTCCCGAATTCCCCTCCCCCCTTCTCCCTCCCCTACCCCCCCCCCCTCCGCCGACAACGTCGACGACGGCGATGGCGGCTGCGGCGCACCTGGCAGGTGGCGAACGACGGTAAGCAGCGCGAGCTGTTCTTTGGCAACCTGCCCCCCGGCAAGGTCACCGCCGAGGCGCACCGGGGCGGGCCTGCACGGAGACCCCCTGCTGCCATTGGGGTCCCCGCTCTCTTCCCAGACCTTCCCAGTCATGGAAAAAGTGTCGGCAAGAGGTTTGTTGGGCAATTCTATTTCAGCCTCCCGGGGCCCTCGCTGGGGTCCGGGACCGCAGCGGACATGATGGGGGATGAAGAGCTACTCCTAAGGAAGGGGTCCAGAAATCTTGGGGCCCATGTCGGGAAACAATCCCGACGTCGGGGGTATGGCTCCCTCCTACCATCCTCTGTCCTCCCGTCCCCTGCCCCCCCCCCCTGCCATGGAGGATTCGCCCCTTCTCTCCCCCGTCCCCTGCCTCCCCCATCCCACTTCCCTCGCCCTCTCCCTCTTCCCTTCCGAACCCGCTCCCCTCCCAAAGGCATCCTATCCCCTCCCCTTCCTACTACCCGTGTTGTTTGTTATTCCCCTCTTATCGTGTTCTCTTTTTTGATGGCAATGGACTTTGCTACCCATGGGACCGTTGGGCCTCTGTTCTTGATGCAAGATGTCGCGATCTCCGCGGAGGGACGCTGCACAGCAGTGTGGTCACTGAAGGGCAACGAGGTCGCCAGCATGGATGGCAATGTAATCCAGCAGTGGGCAGCATTGTCTTGCAACCGTTGCTGGGCGGAGGCGTCGATCCCCTAGCTCCGATCCCCGAGGGGTGGCACGAAGACGCGGTAATAGCCCAGGTGAAACAAACGCCGCATATTGCAATGACGTTGCTCGCACGCCTCAGGAGAGCCAGCGCCAAGGAATGTATCTGGAGTGCACAAGTTGGATCCGGGGCATGATTGACTCGCTGACAGCACCAGACGCCTGACCGAGGATACGACGAGCACGAACTCAGAATGTCAAGTTCGGCTTGCCCTGGATTGGGCTACGGCGTTCGACAGCATGTCACCTGACATATGGATGTTGGGTTTTGTTGACTTGCTTCGGGATCCTGGGGCAGTCTGCACCTGCCGCGACAGGGATCTGCGCTGAGCACCGCAAGGAGATCCTGCGCCCGAGACACGTGCGATTTCAGTATGATGAGGCCAAGGTGCTGTTGCGCATCCTGGCGCAGCTGATCCGAGTCGATTCCGACTTCGCGCCGAGGCGGCCCAATCTCCGACGCACGCTCCGATCTGCTCCTCATCCCCGATCCGATGCTGACCGAAACGGGCTCCAAGGTCGGCCGCGCCAGGGCTGCACCATCCCAGGACCTAGCCTGGGTGGAGGGAGGCTGGAGAAAAGCAGAGGCAGGGAGGCGGAGAGAAGCCGAGGGAGGCGGAGGGAGGCGGAGGGAAGCGGGCGAGGTGACGTGGAGGAGGGAGGGAGGAGGGAGGAAAGAGGTTGGAGTCCCCAGGCTCGTGGCCCCCAGGGGCCACGAGCGCATCCCACCGCCCGGCCGCCCCGGACCGGCGGCCCCGCGCCGCAGGGGCCCGAGGGGGCCAGCTCACGGCTTCGATGTCGGTTTACGGGTGGAACGCGGATTGTAAATTGCTCCCGCCACAAAGGGCCATGACACATTCCTCCCGGGGCGGCCCCGAGCAAATGGAGGATCATGAACAGGAGGAGGAAGAAGAGGGAGGACCAGAGACAGGAGGGATGGGGCAGAGTCATGGAGGGAGAAGAGATCGGAGAAGGAGGAAGGGCAGGAGGAGGAGCAGGAAAAGAGGGAGGGGGAGGCACCCGTGGAAGCGGAAACCGGCTCGGGTGAGCTGGCCTGGAGGCGTTTCGGAGTGTACCCTTTAGCTGAAGCCAGAGCCAAAATCCAAGTGCACAGAAATAGAAAGGACCCACATTGCATGTTCGGTTAATTGCACGTCGTCGAGTGGTGCTACAGTGCTACAGCTTCCGTTGGGCACAGCCACCCCCAGGAGCAGCAGCCAGCCAGTTGGATTTGCACCCTCATGCCTTGCTGAACTCCGGTCGCGTTTCGGCACTGGCCTTGCCGCTGCTGCCGCCCCCTCGTCAGGTCCACACGCTCGGGAGTCGGCGACAGCGACAGAAGCAGGGGCCGACGCATTTGAGCCTGGCGGCGTGCAAAGCCCGACTGTGAGGAGTTCGGTGTCCTCTGGGCCAGGCGGGGAATCAACAGTAGCGACTGCAAGACACTACACACCGGCACGACAAGACCGACGTGGAGACGAGACACAGAAGCGACAGGATTGTCGAAGACAGGGAGAGGGGACAAGACCGATGTGGAGAGCAAGACGCTACACACAGACACGACAAGCGAGGAAAGCACCCGTGCGGACGAAAAACAGATTCAGTCGGGCGAACTGGGCCGAAGGCGTTTCCAATTGCAACCGCAAAAGCTGCACGCGCAGAAACTCCACCTTTCAGGTTTGGTTAACAACAGATGTCTGAGGGATGTTGCGGCCTCCCCTGGGCACAGGACCCCCTGGCGCAGCAACCAGACAAACCCGGTGTTCACCCGCGCGCCGTGCTTGAATTCTGGGCGCCTTTCGGCTCCACCGCCACCCCCTCGTCAGGACAAGACTTGGCTCTGGCGACGGAGACGGCGACAGTGGCAGTGGCCAGCCAGCTCAGGCCTGACGAGGAGTTCGGGCAAGCAACAGCAGGAAGGAGAAAAGGAGACAACTTCGACGTGAGGAGCAAGACCAATACACACAGACACGATGAGGGAGGAAGGCACCCGTGCGAGCGAAAGAAGCCAAAGCCAAAGCTGAATTGCACAGGATGGACAGGATCCACCTTGCAGTCTCCCTCGGCAGGGCCACCAACCCAGGTGACGGCGACAACGACAGTGGCGGTGGCCGACGTGTCCATGTCAGGCGGCGTGCAAGACCAGACATTGCGAAGAGTTCAATATTCTGCGTGGTCTGGAGGAGGAGGAGGAGAAGGAGGACGAGGGGGAGGAGGAAAAGGAGGAGGAGGAGGAGGAATTCTTTACGCTTCGCGTATCCCCACCAGCCCATCTCTCAACAGCAACTCTTGCGAAGCATGCCGACAGTCGTGTTGTTCAGGCGTGTTTCCGCTTGCCCCCGCATATCTCCCCCGTTGCTCCTTCCTCCCGCCTCTTTGTACATCCTCCTTGTGGGGGGAGCGGAGAAGGACGAGGCGGAGGAGGAGGGAGAGAAAGCGCGCCTCGTGGTTTGAGTCGTTTGGGGTTTCTCGTCCTGGTGTGAGTCGTTCGGGCCTTTCTTCCTGGTGTGAGTCGTTCGGGCTCTTCGTGGTGTGAGTCGTTCGGGCTCTTCGTCCTGGTGTGAGTCGTTCGGGCTTCTCGTGGTGTGAGTTGTTCGGGCCCCTCGTCCTGGTGTGAGTCGTTCGGGTCCCTCCTCCTGGTGTGACTCGTTCGGGCTCCTCGCGGTGTGAGTCGTTCGGGGCCCTCGTCGTGGTGTGAGTCGTTCGGGCTCCTCGTGGTGGCTTGTATGAGCGCTGCCCCTCCTCCTGGTGTGACTCGTTCGGGCTCCTCGTGGTGTGAGTCGTTCAAGGCCCGCGTCGTGGTGTGAGTCGTTCGGGCTCCTCGTGGTGTGAGTCGTTCGGGCGCCGCGTCCTGGTGTGAGTCGTTCGGGACCTCTTTGTGGTGTGAGTCGTTCGGGCTCTTCGTGGTGTGAGTCGTTCGGGCCCCTCGCCCTGGTGTGAGTCGTTCGGGCTCGTGGGGCCTCTTGGGGGCCTCTTGGAGCCTCTTGGGGCCTCTTGGGGGCCTCTTGGGGGCCTCTTGGGGGCCTCCTGGGGGCCTCAGGGGGCCTCTTGGGGGCCTCTTGGGGGCCTTGGGGCCTCAGGGGGCCTCTTGGGGGCCTCTTGGGGGCCTCTTGGGGGCCTCTTGGGGGCCTCTTGGGGGCCTCTTGGGGGCCTCTTGGGGCCTCTTGGGGGCCTCTTGGGGGCCTCTTGGGGCCATCTTGGGGCCTCTTGCGACCTCCTCAGAAGCGCAAAGGAGCGCTACCCCCTGAGAAGGACAAAATGAGCCCAAAACCTTGTAAAATCAATGATTTTGCTATGAAGGAAAATGAACGCGGCCCCCTCAGAAGGCCAAAATGGGGCCAAAACCGTGGTAAAATCAATGCTTTTTGCTTCAACGACGAGCAGAGGCACCACCCCCCCCCCCGGGGGCCAGAATCCTCGTGAGGGTAGTCGTTTTTTGGCCCTCCCAGGAGTCGAAAAAGGCCCCCCTTGACACCACTCGGAACTCCCTCCCCAGGTCCAGGGGAGGGGGTAGGGGGAGGGGTAAACCCCTCCCCGGAGGAGAAGAAGGGGGGTTGAGGACAGAGAGAGCTCGCTAAACCACTCACGCCCAAAGGGCTGGTGGGATTGGAGGAGGTGGCTGAGGATGAGGAGACTGAGAAATGGGAGGTACATGGCGACGAACAGGAGGAGGGGGAAACGGAGGAGAACGACGTTCGGGCACTGGCGTGCCTTTGGCCCCGAGGTGATCTTGAGGCTGGTCAATCCCGTCCTCGAGAAGCTTCCAGAATGGCGGCCGCAGGAGCAGCGGGGGGAATTTGATGAAAATCAGGCCGGATAACAATAGTAGGAAAGGCAGACTGAGCACGAGCAGGAGGAGGAAGCGAACGTAAAGGATGAGGAATTAAGGAGTGGAACGCGCCGGAAAGGGTTAAAGTTGCAAGACGAGGAAGAGGAGGATTACTTCCAAGACAAAATGCAGCACCAGCGTGTGATTATCTATGGAATGGCCCCTCTTCCATCTCTCCCACCCCCACGTCCTGCGATTACCTTCTCCTCCTCCTCCTCTTCCACCTGCTACTTTCGCAGACTCGTCCTTCCCGATATGTTCCGCATCATTCCCCTATGTCATCTGTTCTGCTTTGTGCAATTTCGTGTTGTTCATCTTCCTCCGCTACACCACTCCGACTGCCGCTCTTCTTCTCCTTCTTCATCACCATCATCATCAACAACAGCATCATCATCACCATCACCGCCACCATCATCACCATTATCATCATCTTGCTCCCTATCTCACACAAATGTCATCTCCCATCCTTCATCGGTCACGCTATTCTCGCACATACCCATCCTCACTCTCGTTCCTAACTCTGCTTCTGCTCATCCGCCTTCTCCTCATCTTCCACTCGATCCTGCTGCTGAGTGTTTTCCTCCGCATGTGGATCTGAATATGTTCCTCCTCCACCTCCGCATACACAGTCTCACCATATCCTCCGTGCTCCCCACCCCATATTCCAAGCCCTCCTCGAGCTCGTTGTTTTCGCCGTCGCCCTGCTCAACCTGACCCTCGCCATGTTCATCATCCATCCATGCGCGGCGTTCCAGACAGGGCCTCGCCTTAGAGGGCCAAAGATGTTGACATATATTCCTTGGCGCAAGGTCGGCGGGAGCCCCTGGAAGCAAAAGGAGGGAGGTTCCGCTCGCGGAAGTTTGCGGTTTCCAACAGATGGCATTGGTTGCCCACATCTTAAGTGCCATTTTGCTCGGGACGCCCCGCGCGAGAACGCACCACCAGCATCATCACCATCACCACCACCACCACCACCACCACCACCACCACCATCATCATCATCAGCAGCAGCAGCATCGTCACCATCACCATCATCATCATCATCATCATCATCATCATCATCATCATCATCATCATCATCATCATCACGCTCATCTTCAACATCATCACCCTCACCATCAGCACCCACTCATTTCACGCCATCATGGCCATCGGCTACCGTCGTCATGACCAGCATCATCACCTATCCACTTCCATTCACTCATCACTCGCCCCTCCATCATCATGTCATGGTCATCGCCATCTGCCCGACCAATCTTGAGGACATCTCGAGCGGGAGCCTAGTAATTGTGTCTTTGATCCGAGGGTGTCATCCTCAAACCTGTGATTGTTGCCACGTTTAGGCCCTTGGAGTGTGAATGTGGAGGTCGTCTCGAGCGTGAGTCTCGTCTGCGAGTGAGTTGCGAGGTCTCAGGCTGGAGCCCCCTCCATGTGGGTCCCCCGCCTCATGTACTGAATCCGGCGGGGCGGTGCTCAAACCTATAAATGTCGTCACGTTTGGGCCCCTGGGGCGTAAATGTGGATGAAGTCTCCAGCGGGGGCCTCGTCTGGGAGTGAGTTGCGAAGGCGTCTCGGGCAGGCGCCCCCTCCCTATGGGCCCGCACCTTTTGTGATTCATCCGAGGGGATCATCCTCAAATGTGTAGCTGCCGTCATGGCTGGGCCCCTGGAGCGTAAATGTGGAGGAAGTCTCGAGCGGGAGCCTCGTCTGCGAGCGAGTTGCAAGGATGTCGCAGGCGCGAGCCTGCTCCCTATGGCGCCCGCATTTTTTTGTTATTGAACATATCAGAAGGGGGTCATCCTCAAATCTAAAACTGTCGTCACTCAGGGCGCCGAGAGCGCGAGTGTGGCGGAAGTCTCGAGCGGGAGCCTCGGCTGTGAGCGAGTTGCGGGGAGGGTCTCAGGCTTGAGCCTTATTCTCACGTGGCCCGCATCGCACGGTTTTCATCCGAAGAGGGCATCCTCAAACGTGTGAATTTCGTCGCGTTTGGGCCCTGTGGCGCGAATGTGGAGGAAATCTCGAGCGGGAGCCTCGTCTGGGAGCGAGTCGCGAGGAGATCTCAGGCGGGAACACACACACACACCATGGGGCCCACATTTGGCGTTTTTCTTCTAAGGGGGGTCATCTTCGAACTTGAGACTGTCATCATTTTTGGGCCCCTGGGGCGTGAATGCGGAGGAAGTCTCGAGCGGGGGACGTGTCTATAAGTGAACCGCGAGGAAGTCTTTGGCGGGAGCTCTTTCCTAACACAGTCCTCGAATGAATGTTGGAATCCAAGCGGGGCCATCCAAGTCCAGTGGCTGTCCTCACGCTGGTGTTCCTCAGGTTCTGTCTGGAGAAAGTCTCGAGCGGGAGCTTCGCCTGTGAACGAACGGCGAGAATATTGAGCGGAAGCCCCCTCCCTGCGGGGTCCCCACCAAGTTCGAATCCAAGCGGGGTAATGTTTGGAGTTCTTCCGGCCCGAATCTCGAGAAATTCTCGAGCGGGAGCCTCGTCGTGCGAGATATCACCAGCGACGGGCCCACCAGCGCGGGCGAGGAGCTTTCTCATGTTCAGGCCCAGCGGGCAAGAACTCACTTGGCAAAGCTCGGGGCCGCACGTCGTGCGCCGCTCGAAGTTCACCCTGACGCACGCGCTCTGCCTCACCCCCACGTCGTCGCAGGGTCAGACGCCGCGCAAGGGCGTCACCATCGAATGCGGCAGGGACGAAGACGCTGGCCGCCCGGGCACGTCGGACTAACACTGGTCCGCGCGCAAGCGGAGTATGCTGAGCCTGCGGCCGTCCTCGCGCGAGTTTCTGGGGCGCGGACCGCTGGCATCCCTGCGGAAGACGCCCAGGGAGTTCGACAAGAGAGCGGGGAACTCCAGGGCTGAGGCGGAGCAGTTCGCGGCAGAGCTCGGCGTCGCGCTGCCTCCCTCCTGGACGCGGCGGCGCCTCGCTTCAGGCCCGCGGCTCGCGAGGTTGTCTCAATGGCCTGGCCCGCGGGGTTGCTCCAGCGCCTTCGCGACTCGGCCATCGGAGGACGCGTCCCTGCCATCCGTGGCGGCGACGGTGCGGAGGAAAATCGACTTGCTCGCCCTTGCAAGAGGGACGCGGGAGGAGATTGATGGGGGAGAAAAGGCAGGAGGACGAGGAGGAGTCAGAGCAGGGGGCGGAAAGAGGGCCTCTGCCAGGGATTAGTCAAGACGGTGAGAAGACAGGACAAGAGCCTCCGCTTCCACATGGGCGACGATGAGGTCCACTTGTAGAACAGTTTGGGTGATTCTCATGCGGGGTCCTACCGCCAGAGTAGTTTTGGATCCAGGGTTTCCGGAGTCAACCATGTTGCGTTTTCGTCACCCCGCCATGATCGTGTTTCGGATACCTTGCTGCCCCTCCGTGCCACCCATACGTGCCACAGGAGGGAAACCCGATCACGAACATCGACATGGTCCCAAATGGCACGTACGCCTTCGTTCAGTTCCAGAGCGTCAGGATGGGGACGGAGGGGAACGAGGAGGACGAGGAGGACAACATGGAGCAGAAGGAGACGGGGAAGAGTAGAGGAGGGAACTGATGTGCGGCTGACGAAGAGCAACAGGACGGAACATGGGGGATGAAGGGCGACCGCGCCCTGCCAGGAGGTAGGGTGTGGCAAGATGGCGAGAGACGAACGATAGCACGAGGAGGGGGACGAAACAATTAGTAGGAACATGAGAAGGAAGAGTCGGGCGAGGCCGAGGAGGAATACGCTGCTAAGTACTAGCCTGGGAGGAGGGTGGGCACGGCGACGAGGAGGATGAAGGCCCCAGATCGCCAGGCTGGCGTGCAAGGTGATAGAGATCTTCGACGGCCAGGAGCTGTTCGGAAACAGGATGAGGGTGAGGCCCCGCGGCTTGTCCTGTTTTTCCCGCGCCCTGCTTGTCCAGATGTCGGCATTCCCGAGCTGGTTGGGCGCCGACCTCATATTTTATGTGTCCTCGTCCTACTGGTTCCTCATCCGGCTCCTCCTCCGCCATCCATTCCACAGCCATGCATCATAATGGTTCAAGCTTGCGACAATTATAGCCGGGGTCCACGGGGCAGGTCACGCAGTTGACGCATTTCCCGTTGCCACATGTTTGTTCGTGTCGTCCTGTACTCACGCGGTACGGAGTCACGCCTGGTAGTTGCCATACCGCTTGCAGACACCATCGTATTGAGGTTCTCGCAGTGAGTGAACTCGCAACTGCCATACATCGGGTCATGCTGGAGTTCACGCTGGCTTTTCTCGGAGAGCTTGATCTCGCAGTCGGTTTGAGTCACGATTGTCATGTAGTTGGCTGTGCCAGAACACCCACTAATTGTACACACAGCGTTCGCATCCCCCAGGTGATGAGTACGCCTTCGTACTTCACTTCGGGATGCTTGCGTCGCGGTCGAACTTCAGAGGTGGAGGTCGCCGTCGTGCTGCAAGTCAGGTTGGTTTTGTCCCTGTCGACGACCTCATGGATGTCGTCGACAAGTTCGTCCTAATGGTTCGTTGGTGGTGTTCAGGTGGTCCAGTTCCACCAGCTCTGGGAATCGCCGTGCGTGAACTACCACGGGCCGCACCCAATGGTCAGCCGTAATGTGTTCTTGTTGTTCCTCCGGTTGTCTATGTTCGTTATTTGTTGTTCGTTGTTGTCCTTGCCTCGGTGGTAACTACTTATGGTTCTTGCGTTGACTGTGCTCGGGACAGCTGTTGTGCGCACGTGGGTGCGTTCCAACTCCTTGGGTTTACCCCGCCATACTCGTGGCAGGGGTACTTAAGACGTCAAGATTCGTGGCGAATGCTTTATTCGTTTCCTCGTCTCCCTCCCTGCATGTGTCTACTGTGCGTTGCGCCTTCTGTGCCACAACCTTAAGTTGCGGGTACATGCAAGCTGGCGTGCGGTCCTTGGTTGGTGGACGGGAGGATCTTGCATGCAAGGCTATGTTGTACGTGTGTATGCGTGTGTGCGTGTGTGCGTGTGTGTGTGCGTGCGTCTGTGTCTGTATGCATGGGTGCATGCATTTGTGACTACGACGGCCCGGCCGACACGCCGATGGATGGTTCTGGCTTCAGCAGCTAGACCTTGCAAAAGAAAAAGGTTCTCGAACTATTCGATAAGGGCTACACACCCACACCACACCGAACAGGCAGGGCCTGCAGCGTCCTCCTCTGGACCCTCGGTGGAGAGGGCAACCAAGGAGAGGGGAATTTGGCTCGTTGACCAAGCGGTGGCCCTGAAGGGGAGACCGTCACGTACGAATCACGTGGCTGGATTGGCGTACGTCATTTAACAGTACACCCGCGAGCTTCCCGATGGGACGCTCGCCGAACTTTGCAGTGCATCGAGGCTCCCACCAGACACCATCCACAGGCCGCGCATCAAGGTGGCCCAGCAAACGGCATCACGCGGTCGGAACCGCTGGAGCAGGGGGAGCCACGCGGGATATTCGAGGACGGAAACACGCGATCCACAATCGACTTCGGAGAGCCAGACGACGTCTCCATACTCGATGAGACCAAACCACACAAGCGATAAGGACCAACAAGATCAGACCCAGGCAGAGCAACCGTACACAATACGCCTCACCAAAGCTGTGCCTGACGGGGAAATCCCTAACCTGGCATGGAAGGCAACACTCGAGGACGGCCACGAGAACTGGGCACTACCGATTGCCTCGCTCGCTCGGGAAGAACCCTCCGACGGCAGCGACCGCGCTTGGGCATCCCAAATTCGTGAACTACCGATTGAGCATCTAATCCAACTACATACACGGAACTGGAACATTTGGACGGAGTGCAGCACCACGGCAACGTGGGCAGGCACGCTGACGGCCCCTGCGCAGCATCTGCCTACCCGACGGAGGCGACTGGCACACCGATCTCGATTCCCAACGCGGGCGCTTCGTGCCGGATGACAGGCTTGAGGCCTCGCACCGCGCCCAGGCTGCGCTACACGGTGCCCTTGAGGCACTGCGACGCGGCAGAGGTCACGAACGTGCGCATAAGAGGGCCTCGTCCTATGATGACAACTCCTCCCTGGCGGCCGCAACACGCGAGGCAGGGGCGCAGGGGCCAATCGGAATCTGGTGGAGCTCGCGCTGGCTTTCCTCGCAGAGCGTGATCTTGCAGTCGGTTTGAGTCACGAAGGTCATGTAGCTGGTTGCGCCAGAACTCCCGCTAATTGCACGCGGTGTTCGCATGCCCCTTGTGACGAGGACGCCTTCGTGATTCACTTTGGGTCGCTTGCTTTGCGGTCGAACGTCCAGAGGTGGTTGCCGTCGCGTTGCAACTCAGGCTGGCTTTGTCCCTCTCTCGGCGACCTCGTGGATGCCGTCGACAAGCTCGTCCCAATGTTTCGTTGGTGGTGTTCAGGTGGTCGAGCCCTGGAACCCTTGACTCCATCTGTCTGCTGCAGTATTCGAGCCGGATCGATCTGTGAGGGCCCAGGGCCCGGAAGAATGCAATGCCCAGACCTCAGGGGAGCAGGAGGCAGGGGAGCAGGGATGAAGGATCTGGGAGCGCCTCCCGACAAGGCACACCGAGAAGGGCTTGCCGGCATGGCACGCGAGCACCCGCGGCCCCATCGCAGTGGTGCAGCCAGCGCGGGCCGAGGTGACGCAGGCGGCGGCCGGTGCTGCTCTGGCCCGGGAGGGGTTATCCCCATCCCGATTCTGTGGCTCCTGGTGGTTCTTCTACTGCTTCTCCAGCACCCATCCCCCATTCCCCCAGCCCTTGCCCCTCTCCCCGGTCTCGTCCTATTTCTCTCTTCCTCCTCCTTCCTCTCTTTTTTTCTCTCCAGTTCTCGTCACTTCCTTCTTGTCCAGGAGGAGTGAGAGGAGAGGAGAAGGAGCCTGGGGAGGAGGAGGAGGAGGAGGAGGAGGAGGAGGAAAAGGATAAATAGGAGCTGTTGGAGGAAGTTCGGGGGGGAGATGACCAGAAGCAGGAGGAAGAGTAGGACATTGGTAAAGATGATGAGGGGCAGCGGCAGCAGGATAAGAAGCAATAGAGCAAGAGGAGTAGGCAGAAGCACAGGATGGCAGGAGGATCATGAAACGCAGCAGCAGGGGGTGAAGGAGCAGCAGCACGATCAGGTCCAGCTGCAGGTAGCAGCAGCAGGAGCAGAGCAGAGCAGCAGCAAGAGCAGTGGCACCAGAGGCAGAGTAGTGAGGGAAGCATGAGCAGAAAGTGCAGAAGCAGCAGCATGAGCACGAGCAGAGGAGCACGCTGAGGAGGACTATCAGGAGCAACAGTGGAAGCGGAAGACGCAGGGGAAGCAGTTGGAGCAGAAACAATGGATGATCACGAGGATCACGAGCACAAGCATGAGGAGATGGCAGTGATCGCGATCAGGATGAGGATCAGAACGATCATGACGAGGAAAGCTAGATCGACGCAGGCGGCGGCCCAGGGCGGCGCTGTCCTGGCAGCGCCGTTCACAATGCCACCGCCGCCGCCTGGTGGGCCGCCGCCCGTGTCCCCGAGGCTTGCGGGGTCATCGTCGTCGTCGTCGTCGTCGATGTCGCTGTCTTCGGGTGAGGGCAAGTTGAAGGATATGTTGCAACTTGAAGGACGGGTGATGAAGACCATGATGATGATCACGATGACTGAGATACCGTTGGTGTTATTGCTGCTGATGATAGTGATGGTGGATGCGGTGATGATGGTGGTGATGATATTGATGGTGATAACGATGATGATGGCCCTGATGTCATGTATGGTAGAGATGGTGGTGAAGTGGTGTACCCGATGATTATGATGAGGATGCCGATGACGATGTTGATGGTGAAGATGATGATGATTATGATTATGATGCTGATGCTGAGGATGACGGTGATGATGATGGTGGTGCTGACGATGATGATGATGACGATGGCGATGATGATAATGAAGCTGGCGATGATGGTGATGGTGATGGTGATGGTGACGATGATGCTGGTGCTGATAATCATAGTTGCCTTGGTGGTGATGATGGAGATGATGCGCGTGATGATGCTGATGATGGTGATAATGATGATCATGGTTATGATGAGTATGCTGATGGTACTTATGATGCTGTGGATGTTGGTGATGTGTACGATGATGATGATGACTATTACGATGATGATGGTGATGATGATGATGATGACGAGGATGGTGATGATGATAAAGATGCTGCTGATGATGATGAAGGTGATGCTGGCTCTGATGATGATGCTGATGGTGACGATGATGATGATGATGATGGTGGTGATGATGATGCTGTTGATAGCGTGTGGTGATAGTGATACCGCATGTGGTGATGATTGTGATGTTGATGCTGATGATGATGATGATGATGATGATGATGATGATGATGGTGATGATGACGGTGATGAGGAAGAGGAGAGCGAGGTTGAGGGTGAGTTGGAGAGGAGCACGAGGAGGAGAAGGACGGGCAGTCACAGGGGCACCCTCCGCCTGCCCCCATCATCAGCCCGCCTCTACCTCCGTAGCTCTTTTGGGCCCAGGCGAACGTTCAAGCCCTGGTCTTGCGCCCCTGCGTGACGGGTTGCTGCCTTGCCTCCCCTGCTTCGGCAAGTAGCAAGCTCCTGGAGTTGGCAGCCGCCTCGCGGCACAGCCTGCGCCCTTCGGCGGTCTCCGGCAACAATTTGGCCCACGTCGGCTACGCATGTAGAGTCATGCGTCACATCAGTCGTGAGAGCACAGGCCATCACGCTGTGGTTGACCGCTCGCTGTGGTTGAGCGAGCGCCCTGTGGTTGAGTACGCGCTGTTGGCGCACGACGCGCACACCACACCACAACACAACACAACACCACAGCGCGCGCTCAACCATAGCGAACGCTCAACCACAGCGCGTGCTCACGAGCGCGCGTTTAACCACAGCGCGCGCTCAACCACAGCGCGCGCTCAATCGCAGCGTGCTCTCAACAGCGTGCGCTCATCAGCGCGCGCTCAACCCCAGCACGCGCTCAATCGCACCGTGCGCTCAACAGCGCGCGCTTATCCACAGCGCGCGCTCAACCACAGCGCACGCTCAACAGTGCGCGCTCAACAGCGCGCGCTCAATCACAGCGTGCGCGCAACAGCGCACACTCAACCACAGCGCGCGCTCAAAAGCAAACTCTCAACCACAGCGCGCGCTCAACAGCGTGCGCTCATCAGCGCGCGCTCAACCACAGCGTGCGCTCAATTGCCCGCGCTCAATCACTCACGCTGAAGCGCAGGGCCACTCACGGATAAGATCTTCTCTTTGTGTTTAATGAGTTGACCTAAGACGGCGTCGCCACGAATGGAGCGCACCTTGATGAGTTGCTGGACGCCTCCTTATTGCTGGGCGAATCCATACCTTTAGCGCGTCCGATTCGACCCTTGACTCCGTCGGACTCTACTGGTCTGATGGCGTCGGCGTTGAGCTTGACCGTCACCTCGTGCACGCAGGGGGACTCCTGGGTGTGAGCCTCGGCCTTCTCCATGCTGCTGATGATACTATCATCCACCGACACAACGACGATATTATTGTTGAAGGCTTCGTCTGGATCCAAGAGATCGTCGGACAATCACTTGCTGTCGATCTTGGCGCTGGGTAGCTTTTCTCGTGCGTCCGGCTGTCGGCCTGGATGGACATATCGGCAAATGCAAGGGTGGCCTCCTCATGCGGGTAGCTCTGGACTTCCCTGGCGATGGCGTGCATCGGCTTGATACCTGAGACCTCAGCTCGAATGTGCATGAGGATAGTCTTCAGGTCATTGATCCGGTCCTCCAACTGATGCAGATACTAGCACAAGGAGCTTGTCCAGAGTCTGATGGTTATGTGTATGTTGCTTTCCCTGTGTTTGCTGAGCTGCGTGAGCTCCTGGTGCGGCGGCTGCCTCGAGATATCGCCCATTGCTGCCGAGACCTGGCTCATGACTTGTGACGAACGCACGGTGTTGATCTGGCGATTCCAAGCGTATGTGATGTCGAGTTGCATCAGCTACTTCCCGAACTTACCGTCCGATGTGTTCTTGAACAGCGCCCTCGCCGCAGAGCTGAGGCCATGGTATGTCCAGAACGCTCGCTGACGAGACGAAGGACATCGCTGCGCAGGGCGGCGAGACGAGACTCTGCCATCACTGGAGGCGAACGGGAAGGCACTGAGGGCATATAGCCGAGCCAGGGCGGCGCGCGGTTGCGGGCAGCCCCTTGAGCCAGGATGGCTACGGTGAGGAGGACGAGGACGAGGAGGAGGAGGACGACGGAGGACCATGGAGGAGGAGGCCCCCCGCCCGAGGCCGCCCGTGCCCCAGGCGCCCCCCGCGCCGCCCGAGGTGCAGTGGCTCGGGGAGCAGCAGCTGCTGCAGCAGTCGCTCGCTCTCGCGGCCCCAGCCGCCGGGCCCCCCGCGCCGGCGGCGCCGCCGGTGGCGCTTTCCTCGGTCGTCGTCCGTCCGTGCGTCCCTCCGTGCGTCGTCTGCCGTTCGTCTCCCGCCCCCTCTCTCTCCAGCTCCTCCTTCTCCTCCCTCCCTCCCTCCTCCCTCCCCCCTCCTCCTCCTCCCTCCCTCCTCCTTCCTCCTTCTCCTCCTCCCGATTCCTTGTTATTTGTGATCTTCCCTCCTTCACGCCCACACGGTGAAGGCGGTTTCATCCGACTACTCATTCTCGCCTTCCTTCTCCCGCTCCTGGTGTCTGGGCCATCGCTGACGGCGCTGCTTGCTGCAACTTGGGCTGCGGCCTGGAGGACACCCAAGGTCACCCTTCGAGGGTGAGGGTGGCACGATCTCGCTTCAGCACGGCAGGAATCTTGCCCGCACAGTGGTGGAAGGGCAATGGACCGCACCTTTCTAGACCCAGAGCCAGTCGATGGCCAAGTCCCTGCTCGCAGTGACCGAGGCAAGGATCGTCGCGCCCAGCGGGCGGCTTCGCCAACGGCGGAAGGCCTTGGTTGCAAGCAGTGCCGCGCGATAGAGGAGTTCCACATGGTTGCCGCTGAGGGACGCCGAGCATGCATGAGACGGGTGCAACCCATGTGGGTGTGGAAGGTGAGGCTGAAGAAAGCAAAGATGGGGGTTGTTGAGCGAGCAGTGTGAAAGCCGTCCGCGGTTCGTGGTGGAGTGTCTGCAATTCCACGCGGGCTCTGGCACATGGTTGAGTGCCTACGTGCCTACGTATTGGCTACACGGAGGAATATGGTACGATAGGATGGCGATCGGCGAGGGCAAAGAGAGCCGTTAGCCGCGGACAGCGGCTTGTTCGGCCGCATTGCCACGCCTAGGCAAACCAGGCGGGACCCGCCTAACTTGTGTGTGTTCCCTTGTGTAGTCTTTCAAATGGTCGACCTTCGTGGCGTGGTCGCTCTCCTACCTCCGCTTTGCCCTCGGCGCTGGCCCGCGTGGCGGCCCAGCGTGTGACGTTGCCACGGCTGGCGCGCACGCGACCTGGTTAAAGCTTCGAGAGGGTCCGCCGCTAAGGCAGACTCTTGTTTCCTCTCGCAGGACGCCCCTCCGCCCTATCCGCATCACGATCATCCTCCACATCGTCGCCCTCCTCATATTGCGAAGGCCTTACGGCCAGTGCCGCCGACCCTGAAGACGACGAAGATGAATTCGAGGGGGGGGGAGGAGGAAGAGGAGGAGTGGGAGGAGGAGGAAGGGTGGAGGAGGCTGATTAGGGAGGAGGAGGGGGGGGGATGGGGCTCGGGATCGCGCGAGGAGGAGACGTATGTGGGCGGCCTCCTTCGGGGGCCCTCCCCCGGGCCCTCCCCGGGCCCCTCTCCTCTCGGGGAAGGGATTGGAGGGAAAGGGGCTTCCAGTCGACTCCACTAACGATGTTGTTTATTTTCGCTTTAGATGGCACACTTGAGGAGTAGGCTCAGGGCAAAGACAGGGGGGACGACGGAGTCGGCGAGGAGACGACTGTGACGACGACGGAGACGACGAGGAGACGACAGAGACGACGACCCGACCTGAGAAGCCCTCACACACGCCTGTCTCAGGAAATTGTCGGTCCTACCCGCCAGTGTGCTTGGGTCGTGAGTGCCGCGGCATGCGCCCCAGCGATCGGCACCAAGCCATCATCGCTCGGGCGCGCCAGCCGCCCGCAAGCCCAGATGCAGTCGGCCTCCTTCAGCTCCCCGGCCACGCAGCGTCGTGCCCAGCAGCGGATCGTCTGGCGGCAAGCGGCAAGCGTATAGGTGATCGACTCCGCCAGTCGCGTAAAGCAGATGCCCGAGGTGCCCTCGCGTCGGAGGGGCAGGCGACCGTCGCGTGGCACGCGCGACGGCCACCCTGCATTGCATTCCCCTCGGCGCGACCTGTGGCAGAAAACTGGCTTTCTTAACACGCTCGCGCAATGACCGCAGGGCCCAGAAGGATCAGAAGGTGGCACCGCCACGAGGACTATGCCACATTGTGCGGTCAGGGACATTTGCGAAGATGGTCGCGCCGCCGCTAGCTATTCCCCAAACCCCCAAGCGCCAACGCCTCGAGCCTTTCCCAGCCTCCCGCCCTCTCGGAGCGGAGCGGCGCGCGATCAGCTCGCAGCGCGTGGCGTCTTGCCGGGGCCGCCGTCGCGACGCGCTCAGCAAGTGCCCCTGACCGTGGGACATACGGAGTGACTGGGTGCCCGCCCAGCGCCATCCCCGGGCGCGGCCAGCAAGTGGCTCCGCTCGGCTGACTCGGCCCGGGCAGGCAGTCGAGCGTGCAGGATCAGCGGGAGGTCAAGGCCATGGTCCGTGAGGGCGGCGGTCGGACGGCGCGCGCCGTCTCGGAGCTGCGCGCACACGCTCTTGGCGGGAGGGTCCCGAAGGAGAGGGGCATTGCCGACTGGGATGCCCAGGACTCGCGGCCGCGAGGCGGCGCGAATCGAGACTCCAACCGCACCACAGCGCCGCACATGGCCTGAGCGGCAATGGCTGGTCCAGTGGCCATTGCCGCAGGCACCGCCAGCCGCCCTGAAACCGATGGTGGTGGTAGATGCGGGAGGAGACGGGTGGAGGAGGAAGGGGCGCGGAGGGGGGAGCTGGGGGAGGAGGGTGGGAGTGACGAGGAGGGGGAAAAGGAGGGAGGCAGGGAGTCTTTGTGCCAGGCGCGCCATGAGTGAGGTGCTCCGCGATGTGCCAGAAGTTTGAGGCCAGGCCCAGGCGGTGCCTGAGGCGGGACCGAGGACCAGAACACCAATGCCCCGGGGTCTCCCTGTGTGGCAGGATTGGGCCCACTCGGGTGCGCCTGGGCCGAAGAATGGAGGGAGGGAGGGAGGCAGGGGGAAGAGGAGGAGGAGGAGGAGGAGGGAGGAGGAGGAGGAGGGAGGAGGAGTGGGGAGGAGGAGGGAGGGGGAGGAGGAGGGAGGGGGAGGAGGAGGAGGAGGAGGAAATGGAGTGCCGATGCCAGGAGGACGAGGAGGGAACAGATGAGCTGAGACCAATCGCGAAGCGAGTCCGTATGAATTAACGACCCTAAAACGCCCTCTCAGCCTTGCTGAGAACTTTGGACCAGATGTTCCTGGAGATTCGGTCGAGATAATCCCGCCTGGTCTTCCTCACTGCGGAGTTGTGCGACGAACATTCGTTTGCAATCCCCCAAAGGTTGCACGAAACGAACCCCCCATATGACTTGCAGAACCATTGAATAAATGCTTCGTAATATACCGTTTCGTGAGGCGAATGAACCCATCCCATAGCGAGGTGAATTCGCCGACTGTGAGGAATATTGCAGTGTGTGGTGCGTCGCTCGAGTCTTTGCCCGCAAGACTGAATACAGTGAACAACCGAGGGAGCAGGAAGGGGAGCAGCCGCAGGAACAGCATGGCGCCTCAGTTGTTTCCTCTTGAACTCCACGCTTCAAGGGTGGTCGTAAAGAGTCGTTCCCGAATCAAGCGGACTTCGGACGGGACTCTGAACAATTTAGCTTCGAGCCCAACCATGTGATCAGTATAAACACAGTGCCAGGTATCAAGTGACCAGGTAGACCCCTGGCACACACGTCATCGGCCTCTACACGAGAAGGAATTGCGAGAACGCATATATCGGCTCGGTGATGGTCCGTCGTCTGCATGGCTTCGCTTAGCCTCCAGAGATCCGCTTTGGGCCCTTGATGAGTCGACATCACCGACTCCCGACGCCTCGAGAGACTGCCTTTTGATTCGCATTGTAGGGCAATGGGCCCCCAGAATGCCCCACGGTAACTACAAGACAGAATAGCTCTCCTCCCGGCACGTACTGGTGCCAGCCAGGAAGAGGGCTATCTACAGATCGGTGATCAGCGGAGGTTGCCGTGGCGACAGCCACTCCAACACGGCGTAATCTAGGGTAGTGAGTGTCGATCCCGCCCATCGTGTCGCTCCAAACGAGGAGGGGTGGGTCGGGGGATAAATCGAAATATGCAGCATGGAATTCGTCGTTCATGTAACTCCGAATCCAACATTCTTCTACGGGCGGGGGGTCGACCGCAAGCATATCTAATGGCGTCGGAGGCCTGTCGGAGGCACGTTTGAGGCCTCTCGGGGACCGCTTTGGGGCCTCTTGGGCATCTTGGGGCCTCTTAGTAGCCTCTTTGAGGCCTCTTGGGGCCTCTGGGGCGCGTCTTGGGGCCTCCTGGAGGCGTCTTGGGGCAGAAGGCTCGGAATTTCAGGTCGTGTTCCCTCTCTTGGGCCCCTTTTGGGGCTGTCTTGGGGCCCTCTTGGGCAGTCTTAGGCGCCTCTCGGGCCGTCTTGGGGCGCCCTTAAGGCGTCTTCTTGGGGGCCTCTTGGGCCGTCTTGGGTTGGTCTTGAGGCCTCTTGGGCCGCCTTGAAGCGTCGGAAAACAGAGAAGGCGAGAACGCCATCATCCTCCCAAAACAAAAACCAAAGACAAATCAAATAGGTGTGCCGCTTGGGGCCCTCTTGGGGAAACCTCTTGGAGGCCTCTCAGGCCTAGGATATTTGGGAAATCTGGATCCGGGCCCCTGAAGCTCCTCGGGAGTGCTTAGGAGATGAGGCAAAGGACCGGCGGACACGCCCACTACATGCCCAGCGGCACGGTGGCGGATGATTGGGAATGAGGCCGCGCAACCAATAGCATTCCGCATTCCATGTTGCCAGCCCCAGCCAGAGCTCAGTAGGTAAAATCGCCAGAGACGCTTACAGCAGAATTGTTCATGTTGCACTCGCACTGCCAGAATCTATGCTTCGGTGACTCGGTACCGGCACTGAACCTCCGACACTCTGCAGGTATGGCGTACCCCATGGCTTTCTTCCTGGCCGCAGGCCAGGCTCCACCCACAGAAATCGTCACTATGAGTTCGGCCACTTTGCGGCTGCGCTCTGGCAGAAGGAGAAAAGAGCAAGGAGAAGAAGGAGGAGGAGGAGAAAGAAAGGGAGCATGAGAAGGAGGGGAGGGGAAGAGGGAGGAGGAGGAATGTGAATGCGAGATGAGGGAGGAGGAGGAGGACGAGGAAGTGGCAGGGACATTTCTGCCAACACCCGAGGCGGCGGCGGCGGCGCCGACCGCAGAGGCGGCGGCGAGGGAGGCGAAGGACGGCGGCATGCTGATGTGAAGCGCCGCCGCGGGCCGCACCCGCCGAAGAGCGCCGTTGGGATTTGATGATCGACATGGGTACGGAAAGACTGGGGACGAAGACCGACAGCAGTCTTGTCGGTGTCGCTGTCGGCGCCGCCGCGGGCGGTGTCCAATCGAGACAAACGGTCGCCCATCAGCGGCCGCTGCTGGTTTTGGGCAAGATGTGTTGTTCGGCATGGTACCCATTTTTCCCATACCCATTCCGGGCGTGCCAGAGGGCGCGTGGGGGTCCGCGCCATGGCGAGGGAGGGAGAGAGGGAATGTTTTCGGATTTGCTGGGTTGGTTCAAAGGGAAACGTCAGAGGAATGTACGGTCAGGAATTCTAGCTTAGCGTGCCATTCCGCCGGTTCTGGCCCGCAACGCTGCGGCGCGACACGCTAACCACGGTCCCCGGGCGTCAACGTCCCAAGTTTTTACCAGACGCCCGCACTGCGGAGCGGAGCGCAACACGCTATCAGTTTGCAGGGCATAGCGTGTCGCCCTGGCCGCCGCCGCGTCACAATAAGCAAAACAATCTGGCCGCAGGTGCAAGGGGGGATGCTTGGACCCCCAAGTGCCCAACGATCGCCGATGAGGCCCCGATAGCCTCATTACTGCACCCAGGAACATGACGTCTCGCTACCGGGGGCCTATCGCCAATCTTTCGGCGATGTATCGCCCCCTGAACCCGACCCCCTCCCTCTCTTAACGTTGGCCTTCATGTTTTGCCAGCAAGCTCGCCATTGCCAGAATATCTGGCACAATGTCAGCAAGGTGCAGCACGATCGCTAATGAAATGATGCCCTCCCGGCGCTTGTACCATTGTACAGGTCAGTGCCGCGCAATTTCGATACCAGACAGACAAAGGGCGACGAAGCCGGCAGCGATGATGCCCTGCAGCAGCGGCGGCAACAGCAAGGATACGATGCGGCTGCGCTTCGTCTGACAGGTCGCGCCGAGGAGGGGGTGTTTGGCCCTGCAGTGGTGCAAGAGAGGGTTCGTTCGTCAGCGGCAGCACAGCACTCTCTCGCAGCAGAGGCAGGCCATCGTCGGCAGACGCCGTCGGAGGACAACATGGAAAGCCAAAACCGGCGCTAAACAACGATGTGCCGGCCCATCCCCAATTCAGAGGCACATGCACAGAAGCGCGGCCCCAGGACCGGCATGTAGCCGTTTCTCGTAGCAGTAAGGGCGGGCATCGCTCATCACGAAGAGCATGCACGAGAGTTCACATTCAGCATGACAGGAAGTGGCACCATGTGGTGGCCCCGCAGATCTGGCACTGCTACACCAGGCGCAGCAAATATGAAGTCGGCATGCGAGCAGTTGCCCGACAGAAGTTCATTACCCCCGATAGCCGAATGGACTCAGAGCAGGATTTCTGACCGCATTTGTCCACTGTGCTATCGAAATGTTTTGAGCCCGCCGACGCAGGTGGACGCAGGACCGCGCGCGAAAGCGCGGTGTTGTTCTCGCCTGATAGTTGCGTTCGCATTTGCGCGCGGCGCGCGTCAGCCCCCCGCCAGCGCGGTGCTTTTTGTACGCGAGCACTTGGGACAGCAAGACATGTCTGAGGCGAGCCCCGTGCTCCCTCTCCGTGTGAACTCGCAACCGCCAACCAGTGTGGATTCCTGTGCTCGCTTAACGTCCATCGGCTTCCGAGGTTGACGCCCCGTGCCCACATCGATGGAGGAGTTGGGGCGTCAGGCGGTTTTCTTGCTATCCCCGTTCGGACAATCGCGTCTCACGTGACGTCGTTTCGCGCGTTACTTCGCTGGTCAACGTTGCCAGGTGATTTGTGATGTGTAAAGTGATGGGATGTGTCGGTGGTGGTTCCAGCGCCATAGGCGGGAGCGGGCGGAACCCAATTGGTTCGCTCAAGCGACTTTAAGCGAGGAGAACAAGGAAGAGGAGGACGAGGAGGAAACGGAGTGGAAGAGGCATAAGAGGGAGTAGGACATTGATTAGTTCCTGGTCCTCCTGCTTCCCTGCATGTGCAGCTTCGCCACGGCGACTTAGTTGTGCAGCTTCGCTACAGGGGGCGAGCAGGCATAAATGAGCAGAGGGAGTTGATTAGCCGAGGGGCTTCGCGCGCGCGCTGCGTACCCTTTGCTTGTCAGCAATGTCTGCAGCGCACGTGCCCTGAGCAGGGCACTGCCGTTGCAGGCTTGCATCATAACAGAGTCTAAAGCGCGAGTCAGCCTCCCAACCAAGAGTCCCAGGAGCACGGGAGGATGAGGAGGTGGCGGGGAAAAGCTCGCCTCGAAGCATTCCTCCGAGTGCTACCCCGGGCACATTGGCAGCGCAAGCGGCATGTGGCCGCGCTGTCCTGCGAGCGCGGGCATCATAGCAGTCGGCGCGAATTCTTGCCGGCTGCTACTTCGCGAGGGGGAGAAGAGGCGGAGATGGCGCAGGACACAAAGCGGAGGAGGAGGAGGAGGAGGAGGCGGAGGAGGATAGGAAGGAGGGAATCCCCGACGGGGCTGAGACATCCTCGGCCTCGGCGCACACCTGATCAATGCATGTGCTTTTCGCTTCAGCCTCATATATACACGGTCATTCTCTAACGGGCCATTATGTTGTTCACCCGTGTTCTGCGCTGGCACTTCAGGGGGAGGCGAAGTCATGCGCGACTGGGAGGGGCCTTCTAAGTTTTGAGATGTTTGAAGCACATTGCACCTGGCAAGCCCCAGGCCAGCTTGACTACGGCTTGAACGGCGGACGAAATCGGGCGCCGCACTGAAATGCAAACCGGCATCGTCGGACCATGAGGCCCTCATTCGACTCCTCGGGGTCCGCTCCAAAGGAAAAGTTCAGCCTCTTCGTCCGATTGGGGAGGCACCGCGAGGTCTGCGAGACTGTCGCGCACAGCCAAGGCGACGGTGTTCGAAAGCCCGCTGGAACAGGTCATCTCGGCCGCAGTTCTGAAACCACAGTCATGCTTGTCCAGCAGCGCACAGTGCGCGCCCGCGCCGGCGGTGCATTTACCATTTCCTGGGAGCGGAGGGTGGACATGCTGAGGCTGGGAAGACATGCGGGGGCTCGCCCGACAGTGGGCCAGTCTGTCGCGGGCGGAGGTTGGTCGCGCTGGCCAAGGTCAACTGAGCATCACGCGTGCGGGCCAAAGACTCTTGCCACTAAAGGATTCATCTGCAAGACGTCGAGGTTGCTTGGATTTCCACGCCAGGCTACGGGTGCGGTTTCCGCCCTCCTAACCGCCATGCGCGCAGCTAGGGCCATCGCCAAATCGGGCGACAACTGGGCCCTTACAGATCACTGAAGGCTTCGACGCGTCGCGCGCCGAAGTGTGCCCCCCCCCCCCCCCCCCCCCCGCGCCATTGCATATCCCCGGGGCGCCTCACTCCCGAGACATTGTTTAAAATGACAGTCTCGGACCTCATGACCCTGGCGGGCCGCCCGGCCGCCGCCGCCCCCTAGCGGCGTCGAGGGTGACAGGGCCAAAATCTGCCATCCTGGGGGGATGGCCAATTACAAGAACAGGTGCGGCCATGTCATGAAGTCCCCGGGCAGCCTCAGAAGTGCAGACGCAGTCTGATTCAATGAGGGCCTCGCGCGCATCGCCCTCGGGAAGAGCGGCCGCGAACTCCCGCAGTGGCACCCGCGGTTGCGCGGGGGGCGCCGCTGCGCATCTCGGGGCGTCGAACGCAGGGCGCTCTGTCTGCGCCCTGCGGCAAGCGCATTGCATGACGCGCACCGAGCCTCCTGATATTGGGGCCCAGCCCCGAACAGATCTGATGTATGAAAGACCGATAGTGTCGAGCGATGTTTTGTTTGATGCTTCTGGTCGCGCTTGCTGTAGCCTGCCTGACACCGCGCGCGCGCAACCTCGGATGGCATGTTCGGATTCTTGAAGCCGCAGGGGGCGCTCGGGATGATCCACTGGTTCGGGCGCCCCTGCAGCGCGCAGATCATGGAAGATGCCCCCCTCGGCCCTGCCAGCCGAAGCAACGCGAGTATCGCAGGTCACCTGAGACGCCGCTCCTGCGTATACAACCTGCTTCCACTCGAAAGCCGATTTCTGGGCGAAGACTTCCCGGGCGCTGAGGTCCTCAGAGGGCTCAGGAGATTGATGAAGCCGGTGGTGGCGGAGAAGGATTCATCTGAGGTCCTCTATCACGTTATACATATAAGTGTCGCGCCTTTCCAGGAGACACGACCAAGCTAATCCCAGGGGGCGCGGTGGCCCAGCATGGAGAGGCCTGCAGAAAAGTCTAAGCCTGCGCGCCCTGAGCGCCGTCCGTGCATCTGGCTCTTGGTTTGCGCAAGGGTGCGAGAATTGGGGGCAGCATGTTCGTCCTGCCCCGGCTCGCGGCGCGCTGGGCGGCGCGCGCGGGCGTCGCCGCCCGCGAACGACGCCACCTGCGCGCGCGCGCGACTGAATGAATGAATACATGAATGAAGCCGCGCGCCCGCAGGCGCGCGAGCAATGGCACGAGCGCGCGCTAGACAGCATGCTCGCGCACTGCCGCCTGCCAGGCAGCTGCATTCAAGGTGCCCTGATTACAATATGACAGCCAATATCACGATACAGATGAGGCGCATGCTCAAGCAACTCCTGACGCCCACGCCCGCCGTGGCCCGCCCCTCTTTCGGCTGCAACGCCACCGGGCCAAGTCGGAGTGGGAAGTTTGGAAAACGACCTGCCTGACAGGGCGGTCGCTGCACTCGCGCGCAGTATCGCCGAACGAAATCAATTGCCGCCGCAACAGAAGGTCGCTGAGCTTGGCCCGCCAGGCTCGCTGAATAAACTCGACGTTGGGGGCGCGTCAGATGTGTGAATGTGCAACGGCCAGCTTTTTAAGTGGGCAGCGCGCCTGAAATTATTTCAGCCTCGCTTAGTCGTGCTTGCGTAACCAGGACGTGCGCAAACTATGCACGAGCGTCGTCTCAACGCACGCCGCGTATATAATAAGCTTACTGTATTCATGGTCGACAAGGACGAATGAGGCCAGATGCGCTGTGAGGAATCGAAAACTGATCGGGCGAGGCCGATCCGCCGGCTCAGTTCCGCTCCGACGGACCCATCGGATGTCAG